AAGAGAGATGCTATCGTGACTGGATCTTCTCCTCGCCGGCACGCGAAAAGCAAAGCGCCTGGGTGCTGATGCAGAAATTCAACTCGGTGCTGGAAAAGACCCTTAGGAACAGGTGTTGCCAGTGGGTAGCCAGCATTTCACTTCGCAAGGACAGGGATTCGCCCCGAGGAGTGCTTGAGAGAGAACGAGATGTAATGAGCAACCAGGAACGGGAACAGGTGAAGCAGGCAGCTAGCCAAACGAAGTACGCTAAGCTTCGGCATGACCGACCAACCCATGTATTTACCAAGTGCTTTGTAGCAATGTTTTCGCAAATGCTTCTATATATTTTGGTGGCAACATGGTGCCGTGGGGCATTGATCATCAACTCCTCTCTGACGAACGCCTCGGGGCCCGTCTTCAAGCAGTAGGCAAGCCCGGGTCAGTCTTCGCCTTCTGCGTCCACTTTATCTATGTTGTAAGTCCTGACCGACCTCATGTCGGGTCAGTGCCTGCTCTGGAGTGTCTCCCCGTGGTCTCCGGGTTGGCAGAGGTACTCCACGGCATGTGCTCTCTTTATTCCAACTGGCTGGGGCAGCTCGGCACCACTTTGAGGTAGCCGCTTCCCATCTCCACGATCGCCTCCCCCGTTTGGCCATCTCTCTGATAATACTGATGCCCCGGCCAAGTGCTAAGTCCGATTGAATCTCGGACGCTATGGTTTACAAGGCGAGTGAGCCCCAGCCACGCGGTATTCGACTTGGGATCGCTGTGCTTTATTAGCAGCTGCGGACATCGGCACCCACAAACTCCCGGGTCCAGGGTCGACTTGCAGCTCCAGGGCTTACCGCCAGCTGACTAGACTTGTATATGCCAAGCAATGGGCCGAATCTTCGTACGGTGAAGGGCTCGGCTTCCATTGTAGCCACGCCAACGACGGTTAGGCATACTCTGCACTTCCCGTCGTGGGTAGGGAACAGGAGTAACGGCCTGGTGGACGCTATTATTGCGTTGGCACAACTGAACTTTCCTTCTAGGTATCAGCGCAGCGTGGTGCCAGTAGGTAGATCTCGGCCACAGGGCTTGGTTTTCAAGCCACACTTTGGCCTCGGCCCGGGGATACTCACCATTTTGGCAGCTTTATGTACATGGCGCCAAGCCCCCTTTCCAGTACCCACGCTGGCTGTAGTAAAATGGCCTCAAGGCGTCGTGATATCGTATACATAAGTCTATTTCTCTTAGTTCAATTTTTCGTGCCGTGATAAGCGTGACGCGGTTGATCCCACATGATATCTATCCAATGCTTTGTGTCCATTGGCGACAGGGACTTCTTTGTTTATTGTCAGTCCAGCGGTCTCAGTCCGCAATTTCCTCGGCATGTTCATCTGATGCCTAAAGGTGCAGGGTCTCTGAACAGGGCTTCCTCGAACTCCGCTGGCGCGTTCTGATGCTGTTTCTACCAATGCGTACTTCTTCTTGACACCTCTTCGCTTTCGATCCTCGCCGTTGTCGGTTTCGTGGATGGAGTACATCTTGGGCTCCCAAAGCCTATGTGCACTCGGCGATAAGTGTGCTGGCGCAAATTCGTCCTTCATCTTGCTCCAGAACCTTTTGTTAACCGTGCTGTGCATGGCATGGTCCTTGAGGTGTAGTCAGCTGGTGTCGAGTAGGTGCATGTGTGTTCTCTTCACATGTTCTCGTGACATCGCCCTTCGTCTGAGAGTCCTCCATCAGCAGGGAGTCCGTGGTCCGTAGAGCAGCACTTCGCACCTGTTGCCATACTTTGGAGCTCGTTGTAGTAAAGTCGCATACTCTGTGGTGCTTGAGAGGTCGAGGCTGCTCATCCCTAATGCACATGCCGCTGGTTGAATTTGCAGGCCACCATGATCGTCGGTGAATATCTTGCTCTGGCTGGAATGTCTAGCTGGCTATCAGTCTCCCCGAGCTTGTTCTCCTCTTTGAACGGGACTTCAGCTCTTCACGGGTCATGCATTTCCTCAGGTTCTCCGCGGTATTGGTCTTACTGAGCACCGAAGTTGTTAATAGCTTGTAGAGGTTCTCTTGAAGTCACTGAAGGCTGTGCACCCCATGAATTTTGGTCAGCCTCATACCCAGCAAATATGTACAGCTGCAGGCTGTGATAGTGAACGATATACATGGATTCTGGCCATCAGGTTAAATGGCTTCTTCTTTCAACGCTGGTCGCTTTATTACCCTCCAGCAAAGTTCTTGTTGGCAGTCAGAATATCCAGTCCGTGTCCACCGTCAAACGTTCGTATTTCTGGGTAGCTGCCAGTGCACTCGTGTATCGCTTGCTGGATAATTCAAGTCCACTTCGAGTATGCAATTCCCTTTACCCGGAATCCGGCGGTATGACGCATGACGTCTATCCTCAGGCACCCAGCACTGGAACCTCTGGTGGGTAGATACCGGCTCATGGCCCAGACGCGTACAGGCTGTTGGCGTCGAGGTAGAGGTAGGGAGATGATTGCGGGCTTGCTAGGGTCGAAATCACGCACCTCGTTGTTGGCTCTTCGCGACAGCAGTTTGCGAGGTCAGTTTGCACGACTTCGCAGTTTTTCCTTCTCTCAATGAACAACAGTAATGTACCGTGATCGGGCAGAGAGTTCTAGCTTCCTGACCTCGGCCCTTTTCAGCAAGGCATCCTAAGAGAGAGACGGCTGGTGTAGTACCATGTGGATCGAGTTGATACTGTTTGGTGCCAGCTCCGGAACGTCCTTCTGAAACACGCCAGTGAGGCATGTCCGTTCCTTCGGGTACAGGTCGTGGTAGTCGCCTAGGATTCTTACAGCCCAGTTTCTCCCATCGTTATGGGTGTACCGAATCACCTAAGTGATGGACGAGTCGGTCAGGTTGCTGTAAATCGGTCAATGGGGGCAGTCGGGTCTCGTGGAAACTCTGGCCTGCGCTATCCATGTACTCGTACGGGTATACGCCTTTCCTCATCAGCGCAGGGCCGAGTCCTCAGCGTCAGTGTATCAGTTGGTGATGTGGAAGGTATCATTGGTCTTTGACCAAACTCAGTTGTCGAGAGATGATAGCAGGAATTGAATCCGAGTCCGATGAACCTCAGAAGGCGCCCCAGGCCATTCCAGTTCCTCTTCGAATATACCGATGATCAGAGGTTTGATGGCGGTGAGGGGTATGCTTCCTCGGCTATGGCTCATCTGCAAGGCTTCCTGTGGTAACCTTTCGTGGTTATGGTAGTTCCTAATGCACGAACGCGTATCATTATACCTTAGGTGTACACACTTTTTAATTTGGGCCTCCGGCAAGGGGAAAGGGCCCTTACACTTCCATCACCTACGTTCGTCGGTGTAGTCCTTTTCCTTCCTCGTAGATAAGCTGGTGTCGAACTAATAATACGTTTGCCCTGCGGGGCTTTAAGCAAAAGGCAGTAGGTGGTGACACTCCTCGCATGACGCATTAACGGAGCACGCACGCAGTTCATGAAACACCTCCTATGAAAACAGCAGTACCCCTCAGTCCGTACAGACCCAAAGCAGCAGGTCCTGGTTTTCCCATAAGCACGTGGTACTGGCATCGATACGGGCAAGTAAGTATTTCATCTCTTGGTATACCTTACATGGTTACCTAGTTTAATTGCTTTCTGGTCTAAAGGAGGGTGCGTAGTACTTGGGAGAGAGTGGGTTCATGGAGGGGTTCGAGCTGTTTACGGGTCAGTGGGTAGTATTCTTCGCGCCGTCAGCCGACGATGTCCTTTGAACGCTCGAATGGCATGCAGTTTCTACACTCCGGGTTGACGTAATGTTAATGTAATCGAGTCTCGCACACTTCTTCACGTAATCGGGTTTGCAGGGCTTGTAGTTTCTCCACGGCTGCGTCGACGTTTTGCTCTGCTTCCACGCCTGCGTCTGACCTCCCTGGTAGCTCTGCAGAAGAGTGTAATTGCTCCCAGAAAATGCCAGGAAGCGCTGACTAACCCCAACCATCATAGCGATCGTAGCCATCCCATATATACCTATATTTACTTCCAAAATATTCCCGCATGATCCCTTTGTTTCCGGCGAGATGTCCTTCGTGGCCATCATCGCCATACCCAGGTTTTGATACGAGCATGCCCATATCCTGCAGGCCGAAATCGAGCTTCTTGATAGTTTTGTTGTTTGAGGACCATCTTGGTCAACCGAAATGATACCACGGCTAGGCTGACGTGCGGCGTAATTTACCACGGCGTGGCGGTGGCGCTTGCATAACGAACGTTTTCCCCTCAGACATGATGTGGCGATTTGATATAGAAAATATATATTTAATTATATAATATAATATAAAGTTGACCTCTACTCGTGCCCGTGGGTAAGGGCTGGGTCATTTGGGAATCTCATTACGATGTAGCATGAATAATGAGAGGAGCAGCAGCAGCAGCAGCAGTTGGGCGCTACAGCTATCCACAGTATAGTTACCTTATGGTGCTTTGGCTAGGCCACCTTTCTATCACCGGCGTCATGAGGTCTACCGGTAATTTTCTGCCACGACCGTGGGGGCGATGGGGTATTCTGGTGGTTAAGGCGTTCGCCTGTCACGCTTGAAGACTCTGGGTCTGATTCCCACATGTGGGTACAAATGCGTGAAGCTCTATTTCTGCGTCCCCTGCCGGAGGCATTGCTGCGGTCATTGCTAAAAGCGGCGTAAACCCAAACTCCACCTTACCTACTAATGACTTGTGTCAGGGTTTCCTCCTCCCTCTGAGGTCGGAGCTTCCACTCGTTGATCCATCTTGAATACCATTGTTATTATTTTTCCTCTTTTAAATTGACAATGCTTTGCCATGATGATCGCTGCCATCACAGGGGCTAAAAACATACCGTATTTGTGGTACAACATTTAAATTGACAGCTTCCAAAGCGTGTCTGGATGAGCGGGTCTTCTCGAGAGATCCCTCCCAGCAGGTCAAGTTCGGCGTTCTGGGAAGTCGTGAGAAGTACGGACGCTGCAAACCGGTGTAGATCTTGCGTCATGGTCGACCCCTATAGTTTTCGTCATCTCGGCCCGGAGCCGGGTTTCTGCATCATCTCGTATTGTTTATCCGACCTCATCGGCGGTGGTAGTTTCTGGATTTTATCAGGGGTATAGTCCCAACCAAAGTATTTCAGAGCCTCTTCCCACCCCACCGCTGCAAGGCCACCAGTTTCTTTCTTCATTGTCGCCGTCCACCAGTTCCTCTCCTGCTTATCACCCTCCACCACCAGTTGTTCGGAGCGAGGTCGTTGCACACCATCCTATGAAATGTAATGCTGTGATTTTAATTCCAATAATATAACACCTGGATATTAATAATGAAACATTAAAGTGAGATGAAGGTTAGGTGCACCAATGATAACGACTTCGAAAGCTCCATATTGTATACAAGTTACCCGATATCAACATAACCGTGACAGTGCCTGAGGGAAGCCTTATATTGATTTTGTACTATCGTTACTAATAGGGTCACGTGACCAGGAAAGTGTTGGCTCGTGGTCATAGTGACCGCAGGAAGTTGGTTGAGTGGTATATGCCACTCAGTGGAAGAGATCGGGGCCTGATAAAGGCTCTTTATCTATGGAAATAGAACTTTAAGCAGAGGCCTTTGACAAAAAGTGATCTCAAAATTCTGATCTATATACATGTACTACATGTTTGATAAAACTGGTCGGGTGCATGGAAGCGTTCATCGGATGTAAATTTATTAATTAATGTCCGTCTGTCAAATGTTTTAATGGAAGACTCGGTATAGGTGGCTTAATGTAAGCTGTTTCTTTTCCAAGACTCCAACACGGAGTGACTTGACCAGGAACAGATATAAAAAAGATAAACCAGGAAACACAGGAAAATGTTAGATGATGATAACGCAGCTTTACAACTCGAATGAAAACCTATCTGTGCCATCACGAATGACGTCAGTCAGAGCTGAATGTTTTCTAACAATGTAGACATGGACACGAAAACACCCTTCAGAAAACACAGGCGATGATTAGAATGGTGACTTTGTTTATTCATGAAACATGTAATACAAATGCCATATTTTTAAACGATATTACGTACCATGTTAACTGGTTTAATGCACAAACCGCAACCGTTATATGTCTTGTAGCTTTATCAGGCAAGACTACATGAACACGTCATAGAAAGGACATTACAAAAAGAATACACCTGCAAGTTGTGACGATCATTTAAAAACATGAAATGAAAGCAGGTGTAACGTCAATCAACATTTAGTTCTACCTTTGTCGATTAAGTGGAAATGGTAAAATGTCGAGACTGAATGCTACAATATCGCAACTTCGAATATGACTTCTTTGAGACGGAAACCCCAATCCAGCAGTTACCCGTTATTTCACCGTACACCAAAGCACTTTACCCCGTTTAAGGTGCATCGGATTACTCGCAACAGTTCAACAAGTGTAACCAAAATCTATACAAGTTCGGGCTACATCCGGGTTTCATGTACACTATGGACATGCTGGTGCCACCGAAACTGTATGGCATGTGCCTGGTTTGAGGAGGATATCAGACCAACCAATCAACAACCGTCTCCATGAGGTGGATTTAGACACAGACGATTGGTAACTTAGTTCCTGTATTCTGACGATTACATCGACGACAATGTATGCGCGATGGGGGAAACACCATACATGCATGGTTTTCCCTGACCTGCAGTTCCACAGGGTCTACCGTTTAAGTGCCGGAAGCGTGATTACACGTGATCTGTCTGGGTGGTTCTGGGAAATAAGACAACAAATCGGTACGTCGAACATCTCTATAACGCCACCAATGTTCTCCTGGTAATCATCTGTAGGCATATTCAGTCTCCTGCTTGGGAGGCGGTGAACAGCGATAACAGCACACTGGTGAACGTAATACGTGTCGTGTGTGACAAGATAATCAGTACATGTGGTTATGCACCAAGTTTCATCCTTGTATCAATTAAATTGTGAGTGAGTGAGTGAGTGTGCTTTGTTTTACGGTTATCATCTGTAGGCATATTCAGTCTCTGCTAGGGAGGTGTTGATCAGCAATAACAGCACATTGGTGAACGTAATGTGTCCCGTGACAGGACAATCAGTATCGCCGCCAAACTACCAGTTGCGCATCACGGCTGTAACATCGAGGCACGCCTTATCTCAGTCATGATCAGTGTTAGACATACTTCTGTTCTTTGGGCTGACTGTAGTAGTGTGAGAAAAGTATGGTGGTTTAAGACGTACTCCAGTTCGTTCTACATGAGAGTTATATCCCACCAGGATCCGCTGATCGATGACTCGTTTTGACACATGATCTGCATCATAAGGCTTGGGTTCGCCCAGGTGTCTGAAACACTGCATTAATGTTTGGATGGGTGTTACGTGATACCAGAGTTGTCTCCCTGTGGTTTAAGTGCGTCGTATTGATTGTGATCCATGCTCTTCTAGGACGTTATTGTAACCAATCACTACGAATTCCATTTAAAACAATATTGCACCGAAATAATTCAGGACTGTAATATGACGAAACGCAAAGCCTTGTCGGTGACAAAGAAATTGTAGGGCGCTTCTCTCGCCATCTTTGTTGCAACATTAAATCTCACCCACTTCTCTTCGCGTTGGGTATTAAGAAGCTAAAATGGAATTGGTCGACACAAAGTTGGTATATTGCGTTTTATACCACACCATAATGATGTAAAGACGAACAATTGCCAGAGGTTATAAATGGGCCAGGTGGGTATGTGTTATCAATTGATACTTAAGTGTATTCAGGGAATGTAAAAGAGACACCTCATCAATGCATGGAAATAATCCGTGTTTCTTGTAAATATATTCCATATATACATACAACGATGTGCAATGTTTGTAAACATACAAAGTCAGAGCACAAATTACCCAGTCTTGATTGTTTTCAAATACCGATTCCATTTGGTGTAAAGGGCAAAAATAGCTGACGACATTATATGAACTGACCTCCGAAAATCAGTGACGAGATCAGGTGTTCATCAGGGTGCGGAAAGCATCGTCCTCTCCTACCAGCTGGGCTTTACCATTCACATGACTTTACCCTCAAAAAGTAAGCGTTTATGGGCCGACGCTGCACTGTGTACAATGCAATATCAACAGATGTCATACAGATGGTTTGGGAGGAATTCTTGAATTCTGCGCTATTTTCAAATAGTGACTTTATGTAATGCGTTTGTTACCAGCGAATGGAGAGTATACTCGCAAGAAGTTAATTCGCCTAAAACTCTAACACACTAAGCGAATGCAGATCAAAGGGAGATAAGTATGTTTTTAATGTGATAAGAAATATACTACAGTATGTACATGACAATAATCATAATTTGACAGGAAAGTTACAGTTCTTCCATAGTTCTCCCAGAGTATTCTTTTCGAAGAATATCATGTTATTCTTAAACCTTCTTCGTCAGAATAGGCTCCACAGAAGTTCACTGACTGCCAAGCTGGATGCGGGCCAACCTTCATCTCTTCAAATATTATCAGTTCGAGTCCTCTCTCAGAATATAAGAAAAATATAATCGTTTTGTATGTATTTCTAAATAATGATAAAGTGTTACAAACAATCTCGGTCTGAATTATTGATTGATCTTCGCTTGAAAAATGTAACAAAAAAGTTTGTTTAGGGTAGTGGATTAAATTGCCTGATGTAATTCTGCCATCGTGGACCTTTACTATGTTGGAGAAAGAAACACAATTCCTCCTTTTGTTGAGTTCCCATCGGATGTCTCTCTAAAACTATGTTATGATGACTTAATAATATCTCTCGTTACTGCTTTTCAGTAATAAAACTGAGAAAACCATTTCCATAATTTAAACAATATCTCATTGTACCACATCATAAATCCATATCAATCACTATTTATGAAAGTGATTTTCATCTGAACTAACTAAGGAACATATGGTACATATAAGGAATTGCATCGGGGATCACTCGTGGCTACTGATGCTTCCTTAATTTGGAAATACATTCCAGGTGTCTAAATAGTACCTTTGCAACCCTCTTAGTTAGTCCTGAAATGCTTTCAACCCCGCTTCTACATAAATATTTTCGGTAAGCGTTGAATGACAATCTTTAGAATATAGTGTTAACTATAGATTGGAAGTTCAGATTTATCGATATCAGTGTTTTATGCATATAGAAATGAAATGAATCCTGGCGTGCTACCGAAAATGACTAGTTGTAAAGGAAAACGTTTCAAGACAGCCATACATTGTCTATGAAGACTTCTGTACACCGAGAACTGTAGAAAACAATTATTGCGTGTTGATGGAAACATTGTTTGACCACGTGTAACAGTTTTGTGATGACTTTATTCATATATATGTAGCATTGCAGCTTAAGCTGTCATGCAAGAAAAAGGTAACGGCGTACATCTTGTTAAGTCTATAAGGTGTGAACTGTGCAAGTAAGCTGATCATTCATTTCGAACCCTCAACCTCAACATTGTTTTGGCGATAAATATCAAATTCAAACATGAAACATATATTTCGATATAAAAACATGATTATATAACCGAAATGTTTTTCTCATAGATTTCTGAATGTAAAAAGGAATCTGTACAAATATAACTATATTCTATCAATTATAGATCGTACAGTATAACAAGGTACCTTTTACAGGTGAAACATATACATACGTATATCAGTAAAGAAACAGAAACACTCAATATGTTCTACCAACGGCGATACATTTTACACCAATTATTTAGGGATGAATTCTTAGTAAAGAGTACAAATGTGTGAAGCAAATGTTCGGACACGTCCGACAGCCGAGTATGCGGCTTTCAGCCTACTAGTTTGCTGTGTATAGATATAGGTGCCCTCATCTATTAATGCAACCTAGGCTCCAGTGGGGATGGAGGAGGACGTTACTTTGTTCTCAATCATCATAGCTGAATAATATCCTCTATCGAAACCGTTATTTGATATCCTGTTCAAACCATTTGACGGTTCAGGGTTCACTTGCGGAATCTGGTTCTCGATATTTACACAGAACACGTCACAATTTAATTCTGGACTCAAGCGCAGTTCTTATGAATATATGGTATTAACGGTTATCGCTCAGTTACAATCTGCTTTCACATTGTAATTTCCTTTCAATTTGTAAGGAAAACATTGTGCACATATTATCAAGAGTCTGGTTCTTTACGCCGTTTTTAGCAACATTCCAGCAATATCATTAGTGAGGAAACACCAGAACTGAAACACATTATACCCCTGACCTTTGCCTTAATGAGCGAACGCTTTAATTCACT